GAAGGTGATCATTGACGATCAACACAGGCGGGCACCGAAGCTTCCGCTGCTCTACCTGACTGGGGATAAGAACCGAGACACTTTGCCTACGCTCGTTCAAGCAGCAGGGGTTGAGCTTGAACCTCTCCAGGTCTATGCGACACAAGGGTCTTCGCGTTTCTCGAGGGGGGTCAAGGAGCTCTTTCAACACCACCAACCACTCGGTGAATCCGGATTTTGACTTTGCTTGAAGGGGATACACGGGGATTGACTATGATTTTCCCTGCAGATCCAGCACAATGGTGTATTGCGTACTTTGCTCCCTCGTCTGCGGAATTTGCACTGCAGATCCTGCGAGAACACCTGACCTTCTTTCCAGTAGGTGGGGAAGTCACGCAAGAAGGCCGGTTTTGCAAGGTGGCGGCTATCGGTCCTACGACGGTGATGCACGTTGAAGAGAAGTGCGGAGTGAAAGTGGACGCGGTCGCAGAGAAACCCTCCCCTGAGGCTCTGGGGGAAGCTCTGCTGCGGCTCGTGTAGATACACTATGAGGCCTACTGGGATTTTATTTAGACACGGGGACCATTCTTTGTTTGTCGTTTGCCGGTGGAAGGAGTGACAAATCTGACTTGTGAGAAATAACTTACGAGAAATGAGGCGAGAACGAGCGCTCGTTTGATTATCCTCCCTCCTCCCCCTTCAGTCACGACGTCCCAAGACAGGAGAGTCCGAACGGAAACGCCGTTCATACTCTTTTAACTTATATATCTCTTCGGCCTCGTGGCTTGTAAGTTCCATATTCATCCTCCCCCGCTACGCATCACCCCAGACGGAGAAAACGTGCTCAGACGAATTCCCATTTCGGGCCGTTCTACCTTAGGCCTATCACCACCGGACACGCACCAATGCCCTCGTTCTTGTCAAAGGTTTTTGGACGTAAGAAGAGTGACGACAGGGAGTTTGCCACCCCTCGCTCCGTCAGACGCAGCTCGGATCCTTCACTTCTCGAGGGCAAATTCGAAGCTATCCCTTCCAACATTTCTCCGTCCTCTCCCAAGTTTCCAGAAGGCCTACACGCATCTGACAAAGGCAGGGTCAAAGAGGGGGACAAGGGTCGGCAGTTTGGCTTGCTGAAGTCAAAGTCGAAGCTTCAGCCCTCCTCTCCCACCACCGACGCGCCACATCTCACCCTTCGTTTGCCCGGTACCATCGACAAGAATGGCGATTCTTTCGTTGCTTCGTTCAATCCACAAACCGACGAGACGGATGACTCAGTTTTGACGCGTCGATTGACTCCTGGAGAAACGTTATCGTTGATTGAGGCTTGCTCAAAGGCCATCACGGAACGTGGTGGTGAGTGTCAAATTAACCTTTTCCCTATCTTTGCGGCACACTAACGTCAATTAGGTCTCGAGACACTCGGAGTTATGCGTCCACATTGGCATTCGGCTTCCCCACAGCTTCAACGCAAACTTATCACGCTCTTTATCCTTACGCTGGCTCAAAAGAGCCCAGAAACCACGCTCGCTCCCTCTACTTCCCCTTTAGCCGCCTTTAATTCCGAGTTGGAATATGCGCGCTCCGTTCACGACGTCGCTGCTGTGTTCCGATGGGCTCTCAGACACCTCAAGCTCTCAGGCACCTCGTTCGGACCTTCGTCCTCTGACGAATGGTCTTGGTACCACAACTTTCGTGAAGCCGAACGAAAAGCCGATTACGATCCTCGTGCCTTCACCACGAAACTCATTCCCGCAATCTCACCGACACACACCATGATATTGTTACCCACATTTGATATCATCTCTTCGCTCGCGGCACACGCAGAGGCCAATGGTTATTCCGGCAGCAAACTTGCCAAGTACTTTGGTTTCTGGCTCTTGAGTGCCCGTCGAGCTGAGGGAACTGAAGATTGGAACTCCTTGTATACGAGATGGGAGGTCTCTGGACGGATGCTTGAGCATTTGTTCTTGTCTTGGTTAAGGTAGCGTCACTTCAGCTAGTATTCCCATTCATGTTTGCTGATTTGTGTGAAAGGGACGAAGACACCAAGCGGCCCCTGCCGAGACGACTACAAGAACTCGTGGCTCAGTATCCGTACACTACGTCCCCTGATCCAACCGCGGACGGTCTCTTAACGAGACCCCGTTTCTCCACCCGTCGTTATGATGCGCTTTTTGTGCGCATTGAGGCGGTTTACGCAGATAACGACAAGCTTCCGTCGTCACGCTCGCCCGTCCGCATCTTCACTGATGCTCTAGATTCCGAGTTCAAATCCGACAAAGGACACGCCTACCTCTGGGACCAAATCAAGACGGCCACGACATCCGATCCCGACACTAAACCGTTGCCAGCTGTATTATCTGATGACACCATCAGCCTCTTTTCCCTCATTTCTACCGATCCCAAGGAACAGGTTCTCCTTGGTGCTTCCGGTGCTGCCTCTACTCTCAGCCCCATAACGGAGGCCCCCCTATCTCCTATAACTGACGGAAACGGTGTTTCCGCTTTCAAGACAACGCTTCCTTCCAGCGCCCCTCAATCTCCCAAAAACTGGGCGGAATTCTCTAGCGCTGGATTTGGGGAGACCACTTTCTCCCAGGATTTCGCTTCCACGTTGCTCGATAAGGACGTGGAGGTCACCGATCCGCCACTCCAGAGGAAGCACAGCAAACGAAAACAAAGCAGGAACGTCACACCGGTCGAGCCGACTCCCCCCGCTCCCGACTCGAGAGCTGGTCCAGAGGAACCCGAGTGCCCAAAACTGTATATGGTTTCTGCGGAGATCGTTCAGTTAGACGAGGCCTTTGTCGATTTCTGGCGAGATGCGGTTGGGGATCCGATTTCAAACGATTGGCCCAAATTTGTCATTGGGGAGCTGAAGCATCCTTTGACTCCTCGTTCGATCCCCGCCTCCTCTGAAGATGGAGAGAAGGTGGCTTCCAGCAGTTCGGTTAACTGGATCATCATCGAAGAGAAGTTCAGGAAACTCACGCCGCCTCTCTCTCCGGCTGTCCATCATGAAGGTCTGGCGACCTCTGGCGGGCTAAGAGTCCCATCAGTTCCACTGAAAAGGACTTCCTCTCCTCGACCATCGTTTGGGGAGAAGAAGAGTTCTTCGCTATCCGCCACTCTGAAACGATTCACAATTTTCGGTAGCTCCAAAGACGACCTGACGTCAGAGGATATCAACCCGACTACCGGCGGATCTGGCAAGAAGGACAGCATCAGCAGCAGGAGGAAATTTGGGCTCGGAAAGTCGCCCAAAGTCGGCGAGATGGGTGAGGAAGTGCTTTCGGAGGAACCTGAACCACTGCCTGAAGTTGCTAAGAAGGTGGAGAGCGGAGTTGTTGCGGTTGCCGCTGGTGTGGTTGGGGGTGCTGTGCTCGCAACCGCTGCGGGTAGTGATAAAGCCAAGGTAGAAGACGATTTCACGAAGGAAGGGGCGAACGGAGACGTTACCACGAAAGGTGATGAACTCCCGACTCCTCATCAAGACGTTGTGAGGGAACCTGCTCCTGCCCCTCCCATCACTTCCACCACTGAATACGAAGTCCCTGCTCCCACTGTCGAAGAACCTCCCCAACTTACCGACGCCCTCCCACCCGCTCCTGAAACCGTCGTATCGCACGGCGAAACTCCTGGGCCCCAGCTAGCTTTGGATAGCACAGAGGCCGGCCTTCATCATGCCCCTGACATCGAAAAACCGCAGGCGCCCGCCACTGAATTGTCTGATGTCCCGCTACCCGAACCCGTGATCGAACATCTCGATGACAAGACCGAAGACTCTGCTGGTGATGTTGGCGTGGATTTGGACCCGGTTCCCATCGTCTCAGGTGGTCCAGCTGAAGTGGATGACGATGAATTCGAGGTCGCACCGGAGCCTGAACCAACTGCCGTCGCTGACGAAAAGATCGAGGAGCCGACGGCAACAGAAGACGTTCCTACAGCTGAGGTTCCCTCGAGCGAAACGTTCACCCCCATCTCAGAGCAGGCAACTGGATCCGAGCCGATCCAACCTGAGGACGGAGAACCCCGACCAGTTGCTGCCGAAGATCCACTCCCACTCGACGTCGAGACGGCTGATGATAATCGTGTTTTCCAGAGTGCCCTTGAAGGTTCGTAATAGTCTTCTCTCTTTGCGCATCTGTATCCTCATCTCGTGTCCTGTAGAGCCTGCGTCAGAGCCAGCACCTCAGTAATCAGACACCAAATCACACCCGACTTCCGTTGGCAAGTGTAAATTTTTCTTGGGTTAGGATGTAAGTCATCGAACTCGGAGAGCCTACTCAGGTTCAAGAGACAGTTTAATCTAGTCTTTGGGTGCGCATCTTGCTAGCTTTGCATTCCCGATTGTATAACTCTCGCTCGCGATGGACAAGAACAAGGAAGCACTTGCTCGGATATATACTTGCCCCTCATACCCTTTCGTTTTCTTGTTTTTTTTGTTCTCCCCCCGTTTTAGTGTCGGTGGTCCCCTCATTTCCTCGCTCTCTGTTTTTCTCCTATGCTTGTCAGCTTCGAGTCGCGTTTTTGTGCTCTCTCTCTCTCTCTCTCTCTCTCTCTTGCCTATCTCGCCTTTATCTACTGCTGCGATAATAATCAGTCTGGAGTTTGTGTGTGAGAGACTGATCCAAGCAAGCGAGGTTTTGTTCATCCACGCGTGTGTATGTAGACGTCTCCAATACCAAGGGCCTGCGCTCTGGGGGCAGCGCCTGCTGACTTGGAGCTTGAAGCTTAGCGGGCGGGGTCTCGACCGTTCCCCGGAATGATATTCGCGTGCACATTGTGGGTGACTGGCAGAGGACGGGTGAATCTGAGATTGGCACTCTATAGCTATAGGTGGTAACTTGGCTTCTATCAGTGTGTACGTCTGCAGCGACCCCACTGGATCGCGCCATCGGTGTTCGAACGTGCGAACCAACTGTGAGATCACACACGGAATTTGGGTGTAAAAAAATTGAAAGACAGTTCGCGTCGGATTAAATGGATATGCTGAGAATTGAAGAGGTCGGGTTAAAAAACGACACCTGCAGGATTTGAACCTGCGCCCTCATAGAGGAATAGATTTCGACGTTGATTCGAGTCTATCGCTTTAACCACTCAGCCAAAGTGTCTAGCAGTGACTAACTTTCAAAATGTAGTTCAATTTTGTTTTTCGCTCGAAAGTTCAATATTGTCTCTGCTACAATGGTTCATTGGGCTCCAGTTTCATCTCAGGGTCAAGTAGCTACTTTGTGAACTGATATCACTCAAAGATATCAATATGAATTAGTTGTGAAGTAAATCTGCCGACTGGGGCGGTGCGCCCACCCTAGCCGTCCATCACCCGGCAGGAAGCGCCTGCTTTGGAATAGTGCCGAAGCTCTCTCTGCACATCCCACCACAGTCTGATCCCAACCCGGCCAATGGGCAAGTCTAGTCACAAAACCTCTGGCTCAAGGGATGGAAACCCCCACGCGGCACCATCGACGATCTCTATTCTGACCTCCCTGTCGTTGCCATGCCGGCCCCCCACGTCAGCATTTGGGGCGTTCGTGTGGAGGTGCAGGATGTGGTTTGAGTGCACGTTCGCGTTTACTATGCTGGAACCATGGGAGAAGATCCTGTGCGGTGAGTCTGCCCCGCGAGACTAATAACTTTCGTTGGGTTTCGAACGATTTTTGGTTTTCCGCAGCGATCGTGGCCGTGATCCTGTTCATGTTCGTTGGCACGGGTCTCGTTCGATACTTCCCTCCACACGTCAAGACGATGTACGACAGGGCTACGTATTACTGGTCAGGAGATGCCTCCGTGCTTGTAGACGGCTTGGGAACTGGGTCGTAGTTTGGTGATCGGTGCTCCCACTCAGGTGAGTACGTCTCTGTCGCTGGCTTGTGCCCGAAGTTCCTTTAATTAACGGTATTCAGGACCATTCCACCGTTCTTGCAAACTCCGTGTATATACTCATCGTAGAACGCGTGCATTAATAACGTCTCGACGCCGAGAACCCACTCTCTGCCTCACAGATTCCCTATTTGTGACGAGCTTCGCTTAACATCGATTGTCTTCTCCGAACGCTGCAAACTACCGGCACCCGCGATACAACCCAACCCTGTGGCATTCCGCCTCTCGTCAAACTGGTGCCGCGAATAGGTGTGCCCACCCAGCTGGTACCGGCTTGGGAAGATTGCACGTCGTCATCAAAGCGTGTGAAATTTGTTAATCTTCAGCTTCATCTTTGGTCTTGTGTTTACGGGGCTCGTCGTATTGCTTCAGCTTTCTTCGACGCTTGAGCCATTTGCTGTGGTGAAATTCCTGCTAATCACGCCCCCAGGCCTTCCATGAGAGGGTTCATTTCCTCATGATCGAAAAGCTGTGGTAAATCTCTCGGCAGTCTACTGGTTCACGTTGCTGTTCTTGCTCCGGTTCAGAACCTTGAAGGGTAAACGGACTGGTGGCATCCACCCAGAACACAGGACGTGCCGGCTTCTTTGTGATGGGGGGAAATGGATTCCCAAAAACGCATTTTGGTCCAGAAAATTAAGTGGTCCTGACTTTCGTCTTGGCATCCTTCCTTTGACTGTTATAAAACCCAGATTCTGGCGGGACGGGGGTTCTTTGTGAAATTTGCTCACCTGTTCCCCGCCCCTTCCCTTCGCCCCAGGCTCCTCTTCGACCGGGAGAAACTATGATCTCCTCGCGTTTCCTTCCGCTCCTCGTCTCGTGTTCATGTGTGGTGGTGACTCTCGCCGTTTCCTTGCCCCTCTCAAAACGTCAGCAGGAGAAGCACGCGACCGTCCTCATCCTTGGTGGCGGAGTTGCTGGTGTTATCGCTGCAAAGACCCTCGCGGAGCAGGGCGTTAAAGACTTCAAGATTATTGAGGCTCGCGGTGAGCTCGGCGGGCGTTTGCACAGTGAGACGTTTGGAGAGCCGGGTAGGCAGGCAACTGTTGAGGTCAGTGCGGGGGATCCTGGCTGCGTAATCCCACCAGTGAGTGCTGACGGATCGTTTTCTCCATAGCTTGGCGCGAATTGGGTTCAAGGAACTGGTGGCGGTCCAGGTCAAGGACCTGAAAATCCAATCTGGGCTCTCGTACAAAAGTACGGTATCCAGACGCGAGAAAATTCATACTACGACGACATCGGTGCGGGTCATTGCTACAGCGTCCATCTGTGACGTGATCAAACGCAGCTGACTGCTCCCTAGCCATGTTTGATCAAGATGGGCCAGCCAATTATACAGATCTCTTCGATGCATATGAGGAGGCTTATTCAAATCTCACCATCGCCGCTGGAGCTCGTGTGGACCTGAACCTGGTTGATACCACCGCCAGAACTGGTTACTCGATAATCGATGTGAAGCCGAGAACCCCTCACGAGATGGCTGTAGAATACTATAACTTTGATTGGGAGTATGCTCAGACTCCCGAGGTAAGCTTGTCGCTGGTCCCGGCCGATTTGGGTGTGACTGACGGGTCGATCGCAGCAATCTTCGTGGATCGCATCCTCTTGGGTCAGGCACTCGTGATGGCGCTCGTTATTTTGTCTGGTTTGCTAACCGCTTGTTTAGGGTAACAACTACACCTACGATGTCGATTCTGGAGGTTTCTCTGCAGACAACCAGCTTTCCATCGACCCGCGCGGTTTCAAGACGTTCATCCAGGATGAAGCCGAGTCATTCCTTGACCCAGACCAGGTGTTGCTTAACTCGGTGGTTAAAACGATTTCCTACTCTGGAGAGGGCGTAACTGTCACTCTTGTTGACGAAACGAGACTGGAAGCGGATTATGCTCTGGTCTCTTTCAGCCTAGGTGTGCTTCAACATGAAGATGTGACCTGGGAGCCAGAGTTGCCGCCTTGGAAGACAGAGGCCATTCAGAGCATGACCATGGTGAGGAGTTCCCCCCGTCGCGTCATACTTGTCTCCCACACGCGCATATAGGCTACATATACGAAGATATTCATGCAATTCCCAAAGAAGTTCTGGTTCGATGCTGAGGTGAGATCGCTGAGTCATTGACCGAGACCGCGTTACTGAAGGAGGGCGCAGATTGCTATCTATGCAGACCGCATTCGCGGCAGGTACCCCGTTTGGCAGAGTCTTGATCATGAGAACTTCTTCCCCGGATCTGGCATACTGTTTGCCACCGTCACTGTGCGTCTTTCTCCTCTTAGTTTTTTTGTGCCTTCCTTACGCGTAATCACTCAGGGTGACTGGTCTGAGCGTATCGAAGCGCTGACCGACGCCGAAGTCCAAGTAGAATTGATGGATGTCCTCCACGCCATGTATCCCAATATTACCGACATGCCACAGCCAACCTCCATTTTGTTCCATAGGTGGTACAATGACCCACTCGCTCGCGGAAGTTACTCCAACTGGCCTGCGAGCTTCTTCCAGGAGCACCACGACAATTTGAGGGCGACGGTCAGTGACAGGCTCTGGTTCACTGGTGAACACTGCTCTCAGAAGTATTTCGTAAGTGTTTTCTATCCCCGCTTATTCCGCTGTCGCTGATCGTATCGCGCTCCGGGACGTAGGGTTTCTTGCACGGAGCTTGGTTTGAAGGGCGGGACGCTGGCCAAGAACTCACCCAGTGTATCAAAGGCGGCGGTTGTGCGAGCATCAGGGAACACTTTGAGGTGGTCAAGAACGCTCTGCCGTACAAGGTTGACGATTACAACACGAGTCGACGGAAGTGAAGGAACGACGCTTACGGTCACGATCATTTCATATCACGGACCGCGTTTTTAATGAAGTACGATTGATCAAATCCTACTGTTACTTACGCCTGGCATTCATACCGAACGACAAGAAGCGCTCGGTCCTATTTTTGCCCTTTTGCTCCGTCTTTGTGGGACAAGAGGATGTGTTGTTCGGAACCATGGCGGAAGTTTTATCCTATCGAAGACACATGTGCAGAGTGATGACAGAAACGTAAATCCCGACCGAATCTGTTTGCCGGACCCCGGCTTTTAGAAACAAAATGATGGAAGCATTGCGGGTAACCGACAACATGCAAGATCTTGACCCCTGGCATAGCCTGCATCCACCGAGCAATACGTTTCCGTGTAGCTCAGATGACTCAGGGCGGATCCGCGTCACGTTTTTGGGGTAGACGACTGGCAGGGTGGAGTGGCAGCCAATGAAGACGCATATATCGTGTAGAGAACCCCTGGAAGCTCGGATGTTTACGCATCTCATTGATGAAGAATGGACCCCGCGATGTCACGATAGCACGTTCCACGCCAGAAAGGCGTCAGATTTCCAGCGAAATTTGTCCAGGATATGGTAAGGTGTCGTTCCTGGCGGTTGGCGTCTCTGTCTATCAAACCGCTGGGGGATTCATGCTAATCGCGGACAGGCGGCCAAAGAGCGTTCGGAGCATCTGCGCAGTCGTGATTACCCCCTGGAAGATCCAAGACGGTTTCGAGAGGAGAGGGAACATCGGCGGGGTTATGAGGCGGAAGAGTTTGTTCTGTTTCGCTTCTCTCTACTGCTAGGCTCGACGTTTGCTGATCCCATCATATCTGATCCTAGATCTGGCAAGCACCGTACCTCGAGGTCGTGCAGCCACTAGCTACCAGTCTGCATCTTCCGAACGAGAGCTTGGTTACAAATTGGGGGAACCAGGATGTAAAGGATACGAAGGGCTGAGCGAGAGGCGTTATGTAACGTAGCGAGAGGTCTGTCAGCGGTTGAGTGGGTAACAGCGGGCTCAGGAACTCCACGACGGGCCCCAGCGCCGAACCAAGCGACGAGCTTAGACAAAATGACAGGGAAACGAGCCACGGCGCGCCTCTAGTTTAGTTTTTTTCTGGAATTTATTTCGGATTTTAGTGGATCAAAAAGGGCCCACGTTGTGAGGAAGAACAGTTGGAGTTGGAAGGTTGTTCCTTTCTTGCTCGACGCAGCCGACCGCCTCTTCCTCCTCCTCCCGTCCGACGACCCTCTTTCCCTCCTCGCTGTTGTTCAGCACAAAATAGTAGAGAGCGTCGTCTGCGAGCTTCATTGCTTTCCGTGCGTATCTCCTTTCTCTTTTTCTTCCCTTCTTCGCTGGCGCTTTCCCCGAATCTCGTTGTCACCCCTTCGGTTGTCGACCGGTCGTTTATCCCACCTTCATTTCTTTCCCTTTCC